CGCACATTTTCACCATTCCGGACCCGGATCTCAGTTATGCATGGACGGATTTCATTCAAATTTGGTACATACATTAAACATAATAGGACCTTGATGCACGTCATTTTTTTTCCGGATCAAGTTCGAAATGGCCGACTGGCGGCCATTTTGTTTTAAAGAATTCAGTTCTGGATCCGTATCCGAGATATGTCTGGATTGATCAAGTTCAAACTTCACACATACAAGGTACATCATGTCACGAATATGTATGTGCATTTGTTTCATGATCCGCTTAACAATAGCTGAATGATGGCCATTTTAAGGCCGAAAATGCATCAAAATCACGTATTTTCACAATTCTGGAACCGGATCTCAGTCATGCATGGATGGATTTTGTTCATATTTAGTGCATATATTAAACATAATATAAGCTTGATGCACTCCAATTTTTCTTCGGATCAAGTTCAAAATGGCCGACCGGCGGCCATTTTGTTTTAAAGAATTTAGTTTTCGATCCATATCCCGGACATGCCTGGACAGATCAAGTTCAAACTTAACATACACATCATACATTATATCATACATAAGCCTGTGCATTTGGGCCAGTCCTTTTAAGGTCAAAAATTCACCAAAATTGCACATTTTCACCATATTGGAACTGAATCTTAGTCATGCATGGGCAAATTTAGTTTAAATTTTTTTTTGAATTGTGTTGAAAATGGCTGACTAGTGGCTATTTTGTTTTACTGAATGCAGTTCAACATCCACATTGTTGCGTATAAGCTAATCAAGTTCAAACTTCATACACACATCATACATCATGGTATACATAATGGGACCTTGCAGCACATCATTTATTTTGCAGATCTTCATCAAGTTTTTCAGATGAAATTTTGACTTTTAACGAATGTTGTATCATGGAGCTTTTCTCTGAGTGCAATCAAAGCATGTTGTATTTTCAAGGTCTGATTCAATATGTGTGACTCATTTTAGTTTTGTTTACTATTGCATAACAAAGATATGTCATGTAAGGCAGGAATGACAGAACTCACTTCAGTATGTGTCATGCCTGTCATGAGTGTCATTCAAAATAATGAATAATAAAGAATATTATGAGTGAAGTGGAGAAAGAATCACACAACTGACTCCAGTATGTATAATTGCCTGCATGTTGTATCATGAGTAACAGAATAAATATATAAATGTCATGTACAGAATAAAGGAAAAAATGACACATCTAACTCCAGTTTGTATCATGCCTGTTATGAGTGCCAGTCAATCAAGAAGATGTGAATATCATGAGCGAAGTAAAGGAAGAATCACACAATTTACTTCAGTATAATGCCTGTCATACGAGTGTCAGACAGAATAAATAATGAAATATAACTGTCATGTACAGAGTGAATGAAGGATTGTGAAACTGAATCTAAATAATGCCATCCATGTGATT